GCGGAGTTCATGGGATAGGTAAGGAGAGAAAGGAGATCGAGGGGTCATTTACGCAAGGGCGTTCCATCCAATGTTGTAAAACCTAGAATGGAAAGTTAGCGTTTGTTTCAAGCAGTACAGTGTTAGAATAGAGCGATTGACTCACGGCGAATAAACAAAAATGAAGACCAAGACTGGAATAGCAGCTCTTTGGGATTGCTCGATGGCGAACCTTGCTGACGCGACAGTCCAGACGGTGTAAACGCAAGCAGTACCGATTGTACATGTGAGAAACATCTTTCTTCTGGCAAAGCGTGGTGCTATCAACGCGATCGGAACGGCATTGATGAAACCTTACCGTGTTATTAGCATGAACTCAGATACCAACTGGCGAGAAGATGACCTACCCCAGCACGTGTTGCCTAGAATGAATCTCTGCACTGTGTGATTGTCCGTGATGCCAACAAGATTGAGAATCTTCTTCATGTAGAAAGAAATTAACCCGTTGCCAGACCACTGTGTGAAGAAGCCCATGATTCCAGCCAGCATGAATCGGCGGCGCATGGCGGCACCACGGAAGACATCGGCCCAGAGAACTTGCTAGCAACCTCTTTCTCTTGCTGGATGGTGGACATGATCTGGGCGTACTCAAGGCGGACAAATTCCTCGCCGTTCTCTCCCTCCACTGTGATACTTGTTGAGAATTGCGAATGCCTCGTCGCCACGGTCTTTAGATATCAACCAGCGGGGCGATTCTGGACAGAAAGGCATAAAGATGATTTGACAGCCGTAGGAACGAGTTGAAGTAAACTGGGGATTCTCCAAGCCCAGGTGGTGGTCATTTGAAAAGTACCGAAGGTGATGCCTGCTGCAACGATGGCTCCTGTTATCAATACATGTCAGCGGCGCCTCAAACTCTCTGCCTGGGAGCTCATGAGATAGGGTTGTATTCCATACCTACAAACCAGCTTGCGTGAACAGGCTACAAAGTCAACGAGTTAGTGACTGCCATCCCTGATTGCGACGCGTGCGAGCGTACCTGGTCATGATTGGACGCTCCTTGGCATAGGAAAGTTCGCCGATGAGTGAGGAAGCGTTGATAATGGCAAAGGGATACCGAAACCTAGAACCCATCGGGAGGCCAAGAACATATCGACATTCCTGGCCCCAGCTTGAAGCCCAGCACCCAAAACCATGATCCATGATCCCATAAGGATAGTGCGTCGGCGACCGAGACGCTGGCTGAAATAAGGGACAAAGAATGGCCATGAGAGCACCGAGGGAATAGATCGCGCTAAGAAGGCCAAGCCTTGAAGAATTGGGTCGCCCAAAGTCTGGTTTTGAAGATATCAGTATTGAGTCATCGCGAATGGCAACGAATCCCACGGTGGGGTTCTCTCACATTCGAACCACGACGAGACAGCTTGCAGACTGTTCATCATGGAAGAATCAAAGCCCGACGTCCACTCAACTCCAAGTCCGGTTGGGATGAGGATGAGATAGAGGAAGCGCAGGTTCGGCTTCTTGTACCAGATCGTCTTGTCATTCTGCGCAATTTGCGACAATTGTGGATCGACATGGTGTTCTTTGGCCCCGATGATGGCCATGGGCTGCGGTCTGAACGATGGCAGGTCCGTTTGCTCTTGAACAACGAGATGAACCCAAACTTTGAACGTTCTGAGACTGGGGATCGCGATGTTCAATACTGCTGGACGTTGCGCCAGTCCCTGGCTCCTATGTCTCCGCGGCGGAGAGGAAAGCCCACACTTGTTCAAGTCGATCGACCCCATACAATCACCACCAATCATGCAGTTCCGTTGGGTTTCAGATTGGCCCACCCACAAAAACCCAAACATCGCGGCGGTGCGCGCCGGCGGTGGGATTCGATCTAAATCCGGGTAAGAATGACAGCAACGCCAAAAACAAGGGCTCCGGATTGAGGAGCTTTGCCGGGTTATGTTGCGTCGCCACTTTCGCTGAAAACATGTCATTCGTCAGAGTGGACGATGAACATGAGAGAGGAGAGGAATAAATACCGGCAAAGCTCCTCAAAGCCGAGACCCTTGTTCGGCGCCTCGGTCATTCACCCCGATTTTGAGATCGAACCCCTACCCGCCCGCGCCCCCCCACGCGATGTTTGTCTTGTGGGTGGGCAGCATCTAAGAAGCAACCCCAACGAAGACTCTGCACCATGATTCGGTGGCCTGATGTCCCGCCATCTTTATTGGGGTCGATCGACTTGAACAAGTGTGGGCTTTCCTCTCCGCCGCGGAGACATAGGAGCCAGGGACCTGGCGCAACGTCCAGCCAGTATTTGAACATCGCGATCCCCAGTCTCAGAACGTTCAAAGTTTGGGTTCATCTCGTTGTTCAAGAGCAAACGGACCTGCCATCGTTCAGACCGCAGCCATGGCCATCATCGGGGCCAAAGAACACCATGTCGATCCACAATTGTCGCAAATTGCGCAGAATGACAAGACGATCTGGTACAAGAAGCCGAACCTGCGCTTCTCTATCTCATCCTCATCCAACCGGACTTGGAGTTGAGTGGACGTCGGGCTTTGATTCTTCCATGATGAACAGTCTGCAAGCTGTCTCGTCGTGGTTCGAATGTGAGAGAACCCCACCGTGGGATTCGTTGCCATTCGCGATGACTCAATACTGATATCTTCAAAACCAGACTTTGGGCGACCCAATTCTTCAAGGCTTGGCCTTCTTAGCGCGATCTATTCCCTCGGTGCTCTCATGGCCATTCCTTTTGTCCCTTATTTCAGCCAGCGTCTCGGTCGCCGACGCACTATCCTTATGGGATCATGGATCATGGTTTTGGGTGCTGGGCTTCAAGCTGGGGCCAGGAATGTCGATATGTTCTTGGCCTCCCGATGGGTTCTAGGTTTCGGTATCCCCTTTGCCATTATCAACGCTTCCTCACTCATCGGCGAACTTTCCTATGCCAAGGAGCGTCCAATCATGACCAGGTACGCTCGCACGCGTCGCAATCAGGGGATGGCAGTCACTAACTCGTTGACTTTGTAGCCTGTTCAACGCAAGCTGGTTTGTAGGTATGGAATACAACCCTATCTCATGAGCTCCCAGGCAGAGAGTTTGAGGGCGCCGCTGACATGTATTGATAAACAGGAGCCATCGTTGCAGCAGGCATCACCTTCGGTACTTTTCAAATGACCACCACCTGGGCTTGGAGAATCCCCAGTTTACTTCAACTCGTTCCTAGCGGCTGTCAAATCATCTTTATGCCTTTCTGTCCAGAATCGCCCCGCTGGTTGATATCTAAAGACCGTGGCGACGAGGCATTCGCAATTCTCAACAAGTATCACAGTGAGGGAGAGAACGGCGAGGAATTTGTCCGCCTTGAGTACGCCCAGATCATGTCCACCATCCAGCAAGAGAAAGAGGTTGCTAGCAAGTTCCTCTGGGCCGATGTCTTCCGTGGTGCCGCCATGCGCCGCCGATTCATGCTGGCTGGAATCATGGGCTTCTTCACACAGTGGTCTGGCAACGGGTTAATTTCTTTCTACATGAAGAAGATTCTCAATCTTGTTGGCATCACGGACAATCACACAGTGCAGAGATTCATTCTAGGCAACACGTGCTGGGGTAGGTCATCTTCTCGCCAGTTGGTATCTGAGTTCATGCTAATAACACGGTAAGGTTTCATCAATGCCGTTCCGATCGCGTTGATAGCACCACGCTTTGCCAGAAGAAAGATGTTTCTCACATGTACAATCGGTACTGCTTGCGTTTACACCGTCTGGACTGTCGCGTCAGCAAGGTTCGCCATCGAGCAATCCCAAAGAGCTGCTATTCCAGTCTTGGTCTTCATTTTTGTTTATTCGCCGTGAGTCAATCGCTCTATTCTAACACTGTACTGCTTGAAACAAACGCTAACTTTCCATTCTAGGTTTTACAACATTGGATGGAACGCCCTTGCGTAAATGACCCCTCGATCTCCTTTCTCTCCTTACCTATCCCATGAACTCCGCACAGGATCAACCCGAACGTTTGGGCGCTAACCTATCTAGTTATACTTATCTCGTGGAACTCTTCCCATTCAGTCAAAGGTAAGGTTTCGCTGTCCTCTTCTAATGTGCTCTTGCGTCGTTTTTGCCATACTTCCAGGGAAGCGTGACGCTGACACCACATACAGAGCAAAGGGAATCGCCGTTGAACAACTTACTGTCCGCTTTGCCGTTTTTTTCAACACCTATGTCAATCCAATCGCACTTGATGCCATCGGCTGGAAGTACTACATTGTCTACTGTGTGTGGATCCTGGTAGAGATTTTGACAGTTTACATGATTTTCCCCGAGACGCAAGGACGCACGCTTGAAGAGCTGAGTTTCATGTTCGAGGGTAAAGATGTGCAGGACAGAGTCCAAAAGAACACTCAAAAGGTCCTTCAAGTCGAGCTTGAGGATATTCACGAGCGCCCCGCCTCACGAGGATCACGGGATGCGGATGGAAACGCAAAGGTTTGATTTATTTACTCTTCAAGGACGACTTCTCGGAGGATTAGCTAGGTCTCCAACATCATGTTCTCACCAATATGACGTTGATAGATTGCTGATCAACACGATAGCCACTAAGCTATGAGGTGTACTCTTCAAGCCAACTGGTAGTGTCTACTCACCAGACACAGGGAATAAGAGATGCCACAGGCGAGATAAGCAATCTATAATTCTCGTCCCAAATTAGCCATGTTTTCAAAGTGACGTCAGGTTCCAGTGCGAGGTAATCTTTAGCCCTGTCGGTATCCACCGAGGCTGGCCGGAAGTCAGGTCCACCTTTCGGAGATCAACTCCGCCCGGAGGTCTCTCCGGTGAGGCACTGAGCTGCAGTCCGTCCCTATCCTGATAGGCAACTCAAAGAAACATGACCTTGTGTCAAGAAAGCCCATTTTCAGCCAAGTCATGCACTCAACTTTGGGTGCAAGCTGCATGATGTGATGATACAAGCAAACCGGCCAAGATCCGGTGGGCCCATGTCTCTTAAAGCAGGAAATGAAGGACGACAGATCGCCAATCAGCAATCATAGCACCCAGCAACCAAACCAGGAAATAGATCCGATTTGCCGGACCAGATATCTCCGGATGAGGGAATCCCACGCTCTATGACCAAACAAGTGAGATCCTTAGACTTGACACCCCAGGAACTAGCTGGGCTAAGCGACGGCGAAATCAACTACTTTACGTGCACTTAGGCGGTTGACTGCCAAGTTGCCAACACTGCCATGTTTCACAACGAAGCAGTGATCGACGGATCACGTCTCTTGCTCGGTTCACCTATCAAACAAGGGTTTTTGGCTTGGTGAAACTAACTTCCTTGTTTGCCAGCCGCGTCATTCGGGTCGATGCATCAACCTGTGGCTGAAGAGGATTCATGGTGTCCTACGTCGTTGCGTGGCTCATCCGGGATCTTCGACGGCACAACTATCCCGTGCCCATCCGTGATTTCCGTCAGCTTACTAGCATTCCGAAGCGGTTGCTCCTTTCTTCTTTCGAACTCCATTTGACGCACACCTGATCTCGAGGGCGCGGCTAGTTGCAAAAAGCTCCCGTCAGGAAGCAAGATACCACTCCCGTTCCTAAAATTGATGGGTTTCAGTATTCGGAATGACGAGAGCGAGACGTCAGTCCCAAAGCGATGTCAGTTTATGGGCACTCTAGTGTTCAATTTGCGGTGCCATCTTTTGTCCCTGTTCGTCAAATTCCCATGTGGCGGCTGCAGGGACCCACAGGCCCGTGTTGTTGGGACTGACGTCGCATTTTAAAATGCGATGCCAGCCAAACACAAGAAACGATGAAGCTTCCAATGCCTCTTTGATTTCAGAAACTTTCCTACACAACACCGATACTAAGCTCAAATCAAGCCGTAGCTATAGAGCTTCCGCAGTTTTTACTTAGTACGCACATCAAGCTCAAACATCCCTAGACCGTATTACACACCTAGCACGCCATGTCAATAGCTGGCAAAGCCCTCCAAAGCACTTTGCGCTTTCGGACGGGAAAGAGTCTCATCACTTCTGCCTCGAAAAGAACCATCGAATCATCCCCACTACTTTATACCGCTGCGTTCCACAACACAACACAATTAAGCAGTGCGCAGCCAGTCAGTTCTGATCCTATGAAAGACCATGCTTTCGACACGCGCCCGCACATGAAACACAATTATGGCCGCAGCCAATTCGCCGACTTCAACCTGAAGGGAGAAGCTTTCATTGTGACCGGAGGGGCTCAAGGTCTAGGCTTGAGCCTAGCAGAGGCTCTTTGCGAAGCAGGGGGTAAGGGTATGTCTTCGTGCCGTCTGATTTACAGGTCTCTATTTGATACTGACTGGGTGATATTACTAGTGTACTGCCTTGACCGGCAAGAGAAGCCTCACGAAGATTATGCAGAGGCACTGGCCCGTGTGGTCCCAGAGTGGGGAGGTTCCCTTCAGTACAGACAAGCAGATGTGGTCGATACCAAGGCACTAGACGAGATTATTTCTGGGATCGCCGATGAGAACCAAGGACTTCACGGGCTCATCGCCGCAGCTGGCATTCAGCAGATAACGCCATCCACGGAGTACACCGCAGATGATGTCGAGAAGATGCTTGCGGTGAATTACACCGGCGTATTCATGAGCGCTACTTCAGTGGCACGCCAGATGATCAGGTACAAGTCTCGCGGCAGCATCTGTATGATCGCCAGCATGTCTGGACTTATCGCAAATCACGGCCTACTCTCACCCGTCTACAACTCCTCCAAGGCCGCCCTGATTCAACTGGCACGCAACCTGGCCATGGAGTGGAGTCCCATGACCAGGGAAGGCACTGGTGGAATTCGTGTTAATTGCATCAGTCCGGGGCACATCATGACGCCGATGGTGCGGAAGAATTTCGAAGAAGTTCCAGGTCTGAAAGAGGAGTGGGAAAGCTTGAACATGTTTGGTCGCCTGGCGGATACGACGGAATTCAAGGGCGCGGCACTCTTTCTCATGAGCAACGCAAGCTCTTTCATGACGGGAAGCAACATGATCATTGATGGAGGACACACCGCTTGGTAAAGAGAGAAAGATCACGCCTCGTCAGACGGTGTCAGAAGTAGAAAAAATCAGTTGTAATATCTATCAAGCGGAGCGAATAGTATCTAAACTTTATCTAATCCAACATTCCGAATAGAAGCAAGGCAGCAGAGCTAAGCTCCATTCACAAATGAGCACATACAGTCTATCGTGTTGAACATGATATGATAATAGTAAATCCGAAGAACTTTTCATCCGGTCAAACTCGCGGCTGAATGCTTTCGAGATTCTGATTCTTTGGTTTGTGGGCTTGGCGAGCTCCTTTTGACGATTTGATCTCGTTCAGACGAGAGAAACTGCCCGGCAGCATGACATGAACTCGTCAGTCATCAACTCTCCGTACATGATCCCATGGATGTATGCCTCTCCAATTAGAACGTATTTTCCGCCATTTCTACTCGCAACGTTGTCATCGTAGCTTGCGTTGATGGAGGTATTCCTCAGTAATAGCGGCATGCGACTTCCACGAATAAGCCAGACTTCATCTCCAGCCTTGAACGCCGCCGATCCAAGCCCGAGGTAGCCCTTGTCTGTCTCCAACAACTGTCTCCCAGAAGCCATGAAATGTGCCATCTTTGAGATGGGGTCCTTCCCCAAACTTCCTGACAATGAGTCTGCTAGAATGGCCGCATCAGAATGTTGGATGGACGTCGTTGCCAGCCCAGCGGTGCTTTGATCTTCTCCTTCACCCATGTTTCTGTTTTCATCGTAGGCTATGCACCTCTGTACCCACTCTCTTCGACTCTCTTGAGAGTCTTGAAGTAATTTGACGTCCGCAATTAGCGTTGCCACGGCTACATCCATGAGACTCTCCCCTGTCAATTCATAGATACCCTGCCGTCTTCTCATATCTCGTAGCCATTTTACGTTGCTGAAGATATTTTGCCTGTCGAAACTCGAGATTTCGGACTTTGAGACCGTGTCAATGAAGACTCCCTCCAGTAGGAGATGATCATGACCTTGACTCCGGGCCTCATGTCTGCCCGATCCATCTGCAGTGCTGGTGGCATCAAAAGTTCTCGGGAAAAGACAATCTCTTGCCAACTGCCTTAACCTTTGCAGAGAGGTAAAGTGTTCAGGCCCGTGAGATGAGAAGTCTGGAACCCACGATGGAAGGTTTGGGAGGCGACCTTCGGTGATGCCTGCTAGTCCCAGAATATCGAGATTGGATAAGTGCTGGATCAACCAATCCGTGACCTGGGTGTAAACGCTTTCGACGGAGACGCCGTAATTGGGCACTACTCCAACCTCATAATTGCGACCCAGAATGCGCTGTATGACTCCCAGCCCGCCATAAATGTGGTCCAGCGGATTCTCGAAGTTGTAGATCCTCAACCTGTGGAGAGTTTGAAGTACCTCGGCATGACGCATAGCTTCATCTGTAGTAGCACCCCAGCGCTGTTTCTGCCAACGAGCCATGCCGTTGCTGACTTTCTCACGACGAAATGCCGAAAGAGAAGACTGTGTCGAGTTCCAAAGGCGATCGACGGTGCCAGGACGTTTCTTCCAATCCGGAAGGAGTTCACCCAGTCTTTGTATGAGTTTTTCATCCCAACGCACCCGAAGAATGAAGGCAGACAGTTTGTTGATGTCGGACCAGGCGAATTGGACCCCGCCACACTGAAGCACGATATCTTCGGGGTGGGGTATCGCTGCTTCCTGTACAACCCATCCGCGCGTAAGCCATCTCTTCTTTAGGAAGAAGTCGAAGTACACTGGATATGAACTTCGCCACTGATCGCAGAAATCCTTGCTGAGCAACTTGGAGATCTCAGGGTGGTCTAATTCCGGTCCAACTTGGTGTAGGAAGTCAACGTTGCTTCCTGCCCGGGCCAATTCTAATATCTTTGGTATAAAACATCTGACGACCCAATAGACTTCGTATGGGGGCTCAATTGTGCCGAGCCAGACAATTACACTTCTTGCGGACTCGTAAATTTGGCCCATGAGTTGGACTTGATGGCATCTCTCTTGGCTCTCTCGTTGGTCTATACAGATAGCATCGACCCAAAGGTTGAAGCCATTTTCAGGGTAGAGTAGCCGAGCCGATTGATTAGCTCTACGGGACTGACGTCCATGTTCCGTTGATTCTGCGAAGAAAGCGATGTCATTCTTGAACTGCCGCAGAAAGTCGAAAAGATTCTGGCCGACTCGAAATCGTCCACCGTCGCATTCTAAGTTAGTGAAATGTGTTTCTGCTTTCTTTGAAGCATCAGACCCCTCATCAAACTCTGAAGGCCCCCATGTGTATGAAAGTGCCCAAAATGGGGGCGCATCTTCAAGCTCGTAGGTCTCCAGCCGTACTAAGAAGCCTTGTGCGCAGGAATTATCCTGAACGATCTGCAGAAGGCGAATGGAACTCTCTGAAGGTAAGGCAGAGTATTCATAGCGCGACGACTCTTGAGTTTCCCTCACTGCTTCTGCTTCCATCGCCATTGTTGATCAAGGTCATAAGGGCGGGGTAGAGAAAGGAGCGAGAGCCATGGTTGCGTCAAATTATCTGACAAGAAGAAGATGAATATTTGATTGGTTGACGGCTCTCCACATGATTCTTCCAGGGTCAAATCCGGGCTAAGAATAGCGTCTGGCTAGGTAGCCTGACACGGACGCACTAACAGAAACCACATGTACGCCAAGAATGTCAAGATCTATACACGCCCAGTTGGCCCATGCCTCCTTTGAAATGCGTTACGTCAACCATCTGTTGTGTGATAATGCTCTCGTTCATCTCAAGGCTCGAGTTCAACGCCTCCATGCCAACACAGTCTACGGCGCGCATGACCCCGTCCGGCTCGCTAGCCAGAATCTGGGCGACGGGGTCTTTGTCAGCAAAGTTGATCGGGATGCCGCCGATGGAAGCGGCGAGATCCAGGCGCTCCTTCACATGGTCGACGACGTAGACCTTGGACGCTCCACGTAGAATGGCTGAGTAGGCAGAAAGCAGCCCAACGGGACCCGCCCCGAAGACGGCGACGGAATCGCCGGGTTCGAATCCGGTGTAGTCGATGCCGGCCCATCCCGTAGCGAAGATGTCCGAAACGGTCAGGTAGTCGCGCTCGATCGTCGAATTGGCGGTTTCGTGAGTCAATGGGATGGGGATCAGGTTGGCTTCAGCGAAAGGGACCCTGGCGTATTCAGCTGCGCATCTTCTTGTCAGCAATCCTCTCTTTGGCATGCCCAGGATGCATATGGAGCAGGCATATTCGTACCTTGCAGACCGCCTAGACCCATCTCACTATTCCCGAAGCCGAAGTATTCCTTCGACCTCGGCTCCATCTCCAGATGATCCTCAGACACGGTGTCGGGAATGATGACATAGTCCCCAACGGCGAAGGAGGACACGGCGTCGCCAATCTCCGAGATGTAGCCGACGGCCTCGTGACCCATTGTCCATGGCACCGCACCGCCCATGTAGCCGCGATAGATGTGCAAGTCGGATCCGCATACGGCCGAGGTGGTCACCCGCACAACGACATCCGTCTCGTTCAGGATGGCTGGCTTGGCGACATCTTGTACCATCATTTCAAAAGGCGTGCCATGGTAAACGACTGCCCGCATGGTCGCGGCTGGCCAGGAAAGATTGAGCGACATGGTTTGGCAGCAAAGAGCGTTGACGCTTGAAATACTTGTGTGTATGAAGCGACGATGCGATTCTATGGCGTGTGTGACGACGGTCTGATGCGATTCTTGGTTTTCATTAACAAGAGGTTTGAGACACGGCGAGAGCCATAGTTATACGGGCACATGTTGCCAAATGGCATGCGGGCTTTTCTCTACTAACACACTTGATTTGCTACGCTGGCACATGTTGTTGGAGCACTCGTAGCCTAGCCAGTTGGTGTAGCAAGTAGCTCGAGCAACAAATGTTGAAGAAGCAACAGGGTATGCGATATGCCTCGCACGCGTCGAAATAGACGCTCCGGCCGATCTGACCGTCTTCGCTTGTGGAGCTATGGCTGCCGTATTCCGATTTGCACGTCAGCATCCCAAATGTCACGCTCAAAGGCGATCTTTCTCCACTTTGTCGAGATGGAGGCAGATAATGGACTGGTCCAGAGCCCTCTGTGGCGTCAATCGGCAGCAAAAGACGACATGGGCGCTGCGCGGATACCACCAGGGATGATGACGACCCACACATATGGAGGTTCAAAAGCATATCTGGATTCACGGAGGCAACAACAGTGGAAACATTGGAGCAGCTTTTCGCCGTCTCCATAAGGTTTGAGGTTATAGACCAGCGCCACACAGCGTCAGCCAGTTTGATGCAAGTCAGATCTGCTGCTTTGCAGTGGTCGAAGGGATAGTCGGGTGTAAAGGCTGCCGTGATGCAGATTCCTTGAGGAGGCCGCCAGGAAAAACCTCGTAGTAGCTTTCGACTCTGCGAACCCCGCGTGCCCCACTCTTCACCAGACCTTGTCATGAAAATACAGCGCATGTCGCAGTGTCACTTCCATCCGAAGAAGCATTATTAACTAGACCCACAGAGATTATATGACATTGATAGGCGCCGAAAATCACCCTCTGCTACGCATCTTGACTCAGTTGCACGTACTCGACTCCCGGAACCATGCCTTGCGTCTGGCAAACGCACGCGTCCATGTCCTCGTATGTCGCTTGAGAACCTCCCGTGCCGTACAGACCCGCCTCCGACTCTCGTCTTGCCTTCGCTCGGTCGGCGACGGGGCCCACAGAGCCCAGCAGCATTTTCTGGCCGAGGAGCGGGCCCGGGCCCCGCAGCAGTATCTGGCCCGCGTCCAGGTGGAGATGGTCGATGATGTCCATGCCGGCCTGCCCCAGCTCATCCAGTTCTTTCCACTGCTGTCCGCCCTTGCTATGCGCAGACCCGAGAGAGACGAGCTGCATCGTGTAGAGATCTTGACGCAGGGACTTTTCCGACTCTTTGACGCGTTTCGCCAGCGGGACGTATAGTGCCTTCCACTGCTTTTTGATGTTGATGAGCGTTACGTTAGGGACGTCGTCCGGCAAGAAGCTGACGGAGATGGTCGGCGTCGCTCCGTTGTCACTTGTCAGGCTCGCACGGGCGACTTGGGCTTGCAGTATGAACTGGGCCTGCAGCTTCGATATGCCAGCCGCATTCAACGTCGGCGGCTCGCCCATGATCTTTTCGTGCGTATTCATGAAGTCGTCCAGGCTCCAGCTCTTGGCAAAACGAGAGAGTGCCGCAACGATCTCTGGTTCTATTTGGTGTTTGACATCTACGTCGCCTACATCCCGACTACGTCGAACCTGGCCGATGACGGCGCTGATCCGATGCTCGGCAGTTGTGATCTCTTCGGGGCTCGGAGAACTCGCCGTCGGCGGTCTGTCGTCCCACAGACGGATCATTTCTGCCTTGGATCGCGCTGCTAGCATGCCCTGATAGAGTTGTTTCTCATCCGCCGCGTATGGGTCATCATCGGTATCAGACAAGTAATCCAGACACTTGACCAAAACCTGAAGCTTATGGATGTATGCGAGCTGTTGCAGGTGGCTCAGCAGCCTGATCTGGGCAAGCGTTTGCGACCTATCTAGCAAGCTGTTATTGATGACATGAACAACGAACAGGAAGCTGCGGGACTTTGCGCCTCGCACAGTCCAAGGCCGGAGCAGGCGACACGCTTCGTTATGCTCATTGTATGAGTATCGAGGCGGACGAGTTACGGTCAGTGGATAGTGCGTGGGCAGGGTCTGGTCTACGTCTGTTTGTAAGCTATTGAGAGGTCTCGATGGATTACAGCCCATTGTTACGGCGAGACGAACACGAGAGTTCCTACGTCGGCCTGATGGCAGACAGGCATCGGCGCGATGTCTTTTCATACTTGTACCGCTTTGCGCAAGATCCAGAAGTGGTGACATGGGGCCGGTACATGGCTGCCGAGTTCAGCGTCCTAGGCGATTGACTTCGCTGCTCGATGTTTAGGCCGTATACGGATTCGAAAGAGTCCAAACCATCCCCGTGGCGCAAAGAGCCACATTTTGCAGTGTTGCGTTGTACTTCGTCGAACCCACATCAGTTACACCACGTAGGGGGTCGATTTGGGCAACGACACCCAGAACTGCCCGTGATCGCATGTGCAACGACACCAAGACCTGCATCCAGTCTACAAGACGTTTCATGGGCTCCACGAAGTCTACAGCATACAGCCTTTGTCAAAGATCATTTAAGGTCTCCTCCCAGACCGCCCTATCCGTAGACTTCCCGGTATCAGAGGACGGAGTTAACACAACACTGAGCTACCGTCCTTGCTCTTGCCATCCGTCAGCCAAAGCCTTCCGTCGACTATCCGCTACCCCACCAAGGCTCACGCAGCCAGCGGCAAGCAGCTGAACTCCGCCATGTGGAATGGTACACCTTCACGACCATCTTTATGTGGGGTCCGCTCTTGTATGCTGCCACGCTCCTCCTTCACCAGTATCTCCGACTACGGCACATCCCCGCCTCCCTCTGCTGGATTCTCCCCTTGGTGGCTTCTACGTGCCGTGTATAGCGGTAGCATGCACCTGAAGTTCTACGAGGCCGGCCAAAATACGGTGCTTACGACTGTTTCCAATGTCGTTCACAACGCTCGCTAACTCCTCTCACAGGATCTCTTGTTCGCATCGGTCCAAACGACCTTGTGACGAGCGACCCGGACCTCATGAAGCGTATGCTCGGCGTGCGCACCAAGTACACGCGTTCAGACTGGTACAACGCGATGCGACTGGATCCGAGACACGACAACGTGCTGTCTACCAGAGACGATGCAGTGCACACCAGACTCCGGTCTCAGATGGCCGGAGGGGTAGGTCATCTTCTCTCGTGTGCCACAGGTCGATTTGTATGGACTGCTGACGATCGCGACAAAGTATTCTGGCAAAGAAGTAGTCGAACTTGAAGCCAAGATCGACGAAAGCGTCCTTCGACTCATGTCAATGATCGATACGTATGCTTCTCAAGATAAAAGGTTCGACTTCGGCCTGAAGGCGCAGTACTTCACGCTCGACGTCATTTCAGATCTTGCATTCGGCAAGCCGTTCGGCGATCTGGCTTCCGATTCGGACGTTTATGACTACATTCACACGACGGAACAAAGCATGCCGAACATCGTCGTCGCGGCCGTTCTGCCCTCTCTACTCCATGTGTTATCGTGGCTCTGCTTCGGCGGCTGATGCCTTCGGAAAATGATGCCACCGGGTTCGGAAGGCTGATTCGGTACGTCTTGTTCGCGTCCCATCTCGGACCTGGTCTGCGCTTGGCCGCTGAATCGTCGACTTGTGCGGTCTTTGTTGCGTTCTCGCAAGTCCGGCACAGCTGACACAGCGACAGGATGGCGAAGGAAATCGCCGGCGAGCGCTTCGGGCCAAGCAAGAAGACGAGGCAAGACATGCTTGGCTCTTTCGTAGCACACGGCCTGACGCAAAAAGAGGCGTCTTCGGAAATCCTCATGCAAATGTACGACTTGCCGAGATCTCTTCGGTCCTATACTCTGAGGCCACTACTAACCCTTCCGACAGACTCGCTGGATCGGACACGACGGCCACGGCCATCCGAGCTACGCTGCTTCACCTCATCACCAACCCACGAGTGCTCGCGACACTTCGTGCAGAGATCGAGCGCTTC